AAGGGGCAGGGGGGGGTGGGCGCGGCCGCCGGGCATGGCTGCAGGGACGGGGGGGGCTTTGCAGGCTTTTCCGTGAGTGTTTTGCTCCAAACCAGGCTTCCTCCTCAAACCGGTCCAATGTTTGTGGCTTCTTCCCCACTCAGCAGAGCTGCTCAACTCCAGTACCCGGGGCCAGATGCTGTTGGCTGTCCGCACACCCGATGGTGTCCCCAGGGAAGGGAAACTGGGCTGGAGCGTGGGGGGGAAGCAGAGCTGGGGCTGCTCCCACCCAGCACAGCCGCGATCTCCTCCAGCTGCCGCCGCCGCACGGGCCAGCGAGGGAGGGAGAAAGGGGGAACAACAGGAAAAGAACTCTCGTTATTTGCCTCAAATTCTGTAACTCGAGAGGGGAGAGAGAGACAACAGCTCAAAACAGAAATTTGTTTCTGGGCTGGGCAAGGAGTACGTGTCCGCTCCCTCCCCGGCGCAACCGCAGGCGTTTCCGCTCCCCGGGGGCTGCGTCCCCGCGCTGGGCTCCCTCCCCGGGAAGGGAGGCGTTCGCCCAAGCTCCTGCTTCCCCGGGAATCGCCTGCCGCTCCGGTCCCAACGCCAAAAGCAAACCCAACGCCGGCTGCCGCAGATCGAGCCGCACAGCGATGGGACGCAGGGTTTCCAACACTGTGGGGCTGGTTGCTCTTTCCAGCAGTGAAAGTGGGATTTAAGCAACTCCCGTCAGCATCACCGCAGCGTTTCCCCACATCCCACCCTGATTCATCTTATTATTATTGATTACATCCTCACCGTGAGTCACCGGGACGCTTCTTCCTCAGTCCAGCTCGACTGTGCACGTCAGTAGAAGTCCATCCCCCCTGTTGTCACGCTTTAAAAACGTCCCAGCTTCTCCCTGCTCCCCTTTTGCTCTGCGCGGTTTGTTGTCGCCGTGAGCAAACCCGTCTTCCCGAGGCTTTGCAACACCTTTCCGGGAAACGTTTGCCACGGGCTTGAAATTTCCCAGAAAACTCCAACCAGGAAAGGAAACCTCTCGCAGCCCCCGGCTGCTCGCGACAAGGGGCACGGGGAGGTGGGAGCAGCCGCCGGGCCTGGC